GACACACAGTGTTACTCGCAACCTTGAAACACAACAAAGTCCTGGATATCCAGTCATCCACACACACACCCGTCGACCGTCTAGTGGAGGCTTTAAGTTTAAGTGACATAGAGCCATGTGGCCGAGGTAAAATGCAAATGGCTGCTGCCATTATTAAGTCCACATAAGACAAACACAAAGATTCCCGACCACAAAGCATCTCACTGCCCTGTATACCAAACACCTAGAGACCACTCGCAGTAGGTGTAATTAACATAAAATATCCTAAATGTTTACATAAACCAACACCATGTAACATAGAATAAATATTTACAAAAATACTAAATTCTATAAAAGTCACTAACACACATTTACTTCACATAATTACAAACTCAACACTGCTTCTACCTCTGCTCCCCTTCTTCAATAACATGGTCTATTCCTACAGCTCTTAGGCTGGTGCTTAGGGGGTCTTTCTCTTTCACCCCCACAGCCTGCTGAGGAAACAAGGAAAAAGTGAGGGCTGCCATTATCTTAACAAAGCACAACTAATAAATGTAAGACTGCTAACTGTAACTGCAAAAAGAGTAGGCTTGAGTCACAACACAAATTCGATGTTTGAACTGTAAATGCTGCTAATTTGGATTTCCTTTCCACCCAGTCCTTCTTGGCAACACCCAGTACCACCTGCAGTCCCAACAGTAAAAAAAAAAAAAAAAAAGTTAAAGTGTTAAATTATCACAATAAAATATCCTCACAAATATCAAAGTGCAATGATTCATTTAACATACAATGTTGTGTTTCAGTCAACACTAATGTGTCATGGTAACAGAACATTACAACACCACTCCTTGTTAAATCATTTACTTTACTGTGAGTAGACTGTCAACCTGCTCTGTCCCCCCCACATCACCTGGTCACAGGAGGCAACTCGCACCAATCAGACAGCTTGGTTCTTCAAAAACAGATCAAAATAAAAGCAGCCTTAGTCTGTTTGAAGGCGATGACACAGTTACAGGAGCACACAGAAGAAAAATATAATCCCCATAGACGTCCCTATGTGAAACTTTTCACACTGAATGTGTAAGAGCAGGAGTATCCATGGTTACACATGCTACCTTTGAAAGGACTTTACTACTGGAAATCTTTCCAATCAAGTAGCTGTGGTCTCTGTTTCACGAGAAATACAAAAATTGTCAACATCCAAAACAACGGTTTCACTTCACAAATGGGAGTAATAAAAGAATCAAATGCTCAATAAGCCTCTTTCACACGGCCCATTCAAGGCACGATTTTCACACCAATTTCCTGCCACGCCCTTCAGTATGAAGGCCAACATGGGGGTCGGTGCTGACCATTCTTTATTCCACCACCAGAGGAAGTAAAATTGGTGCAACCGTGGAAAAGGGCAAGGGAGTTTGGGGTGCTGTGGGCAGAGGTGCTTGAGGCTTTGATGTTGTTTCCATGACAAGGGGATTCAATTTTACCATTGCTAACAAGAAACTAAATCCATGACCATAATCATTACCATGCTGGACACTGTACATAACTGAGAGTCTGAGTTCATGTCGTAAATGTGCCAGTATGTTCTGTATTTCTGGCATGCATGCTATATGTCACGCTGGATGTCAAGTCCCCAATACCGGGATGGAGGTATCTGTGTATAAAGAATAGAAGCAGTCTTATGCTGGCTTTTTTTTTCAGTTTTTTCAGTTCAGCAAATAGACTTAGCTGCCATAAACAAGGTCCAGCCTAATGCCAATACAGTGGAATCTCTGTGCAAAGGAGGATATATTCAGGAGTTAAGTCCACTTAAGGCTTTTCTCAGGAAGCTGTAGAACGCTGTAGACACCCCAGTCCAGTGGCGATGCTCTGCTTTAAGTTAAAAATAAAGGCCCCTGCACAACAATAAAGGCAGCAGGACTATTTGAAAGGAACAAAAACAACTTCTCGGTCGGTAAAACCTGGGGCCATGACGCAACAGAGAGCAAGTGGTGCAGAATTGAAAATGCAATCTGACTCCAGAATGTTTTATTTTCTAATCATTCTCTATTTACATTTACATCTATCAACTTGAGAAAGCAGCCCCCTCCTCCTCTGATAAACACTGGAGCAAAACAGGGTGTCACTAAATGTGTTCTTATTCACAACATGGAGGCTGAAGAAAGACTGTGATCCACATTGAAAACCCAAATGGACCCTTCCACTGACTGAAAGATGAATACACAACCTCCTTCCACAGGCCTCAAACTGTGACCATGAAATGACCTCCAGGCTTCATCCCAGCTAGGAGACATTTTCTCAACCATACATTTGTACCTTTATCAAATTCATCTGCTTCTAACAGATACATACTCGCTCTCTTAGAAGCCGATAGTTCAAGGAGTTTATTTTGGGGCACAGCAAAAGTTGACACAGTCTCAAAGTGTGTTCAGTTTTAACCAGAATCACCATTAAATCTGTGTGTGGATGTATAATTTAAGACTGCTTTAGTGTAAGAGAAAAACTGTGGTTCATATACGTGCAGGGGAAAGGTATAGGTCACATTTTGCTGCTAAAAAAGAAGAAAAACCAGTGATTAAAACATGGCCATGCGTGCTGACTGGGCTTTCTGTCTCTCTCTTTTTCCCTGCCTCCCCTCCCCCCTCCACACCAAAAACAGCATCAAAGCAATCAAAATGGTAATGTTAGGCATGAATGGGGCCCATCCCCCCTCCTCCGCCACCTTCACCTCATCCTCCTGCACTAAACTCCGCACACTTTTTTCCTCTCCATGTTAGAGGGGGCCAGAAACCACCCCCTTTCCTCTCTCAAAATGGAAGCTTCCACTACCAAACTCGACGAAGAAGAAGAAATGGAAGGGAGGAAAAATCACTCTCTCCACAACACAAACAGCAAGGATTCACACCCAGGACTCAGGCCAGCGTCCTGAGTAGAAACTGGATTATTAAAAGAGCTACTACTGATGCCGCTGTGTTTTATTATCGTCTTGCTGTGTGGCTTTTTACATACAGCAAGTTTAATGGATTCAACAGTACCTGTAACAAATCAAGTGCTTCGAAACTGCATTCCATAGGAAATGGGATCGATTAAAGTCAGGCAGAGGGAAAACAGGCCGCTAACAATTAAAACAAAACAACACAACCAGTGGCTAAATTAATATCGACCTATTTTCCTTGCATTCTTCTTCTTGTTGTTAATGTTGGGAAGTTGTGTGCGCTGCTGTCCGGCAGGGACCAACCGGCGGGGCGGGCTGAACACAGCTGCAGCCTCGATCCAGCATCTATCACCAGCATGGCTGCAAAAAGCACCTGCTTCAAAGTTAAAATAGGACACCGTGTGCGAACCGAGAGGATAGTAAAGAAGTGAGAGCGTATTCGTGAGCGAATCAAATGCACCGCTGTGGTCATGTGACCGAGAAGAAATAATACCACCAGACTAAGTATAAAGTAACAAACCGCGGTGTGTAACCGTATAAAAGACTTTTAACAGCAGCTCCGGGTTGATAGCAAGGCTTGGTTTAACTTTAAAACTTCAACTATAGTGTTGAGGAAAAAGTCTGAGCGGGTAGTTAGCTAAGCTGCTCCTTTATTAGCCTCTACCGTTACTCTCCAGAAACATGTCGACCCACTCAAAATGGACGCTAAAATTTTTTCAACATTACACAACTTTGAGAACCGGGATGGAGCCCGGCGGTTCGGCTAGCTGTACACCCCGACAGGACACAATAAAAGGAGATTTTAGCGGACATCCACTGTTTTGTTACAGCTAGGAAAAGCGTCCACATCGGGCACAGTAAAGGCAAAAAACAATCAACACATTGGAGCTTACTTGTTTATCGCTTAGGGCTGTTATTCTTGTTTGCCTGTCGTGCAGCTGTCTCTTAAGGTCCCCATCCTACAAATGAACAAAACATCTGTCAGTGTGAATTACCATTTTATTTTGGACACAACCATGAAACTTCACAGTATATATTTTCAGCAAAGTCACGATGAAGCTGCCACTGTAAGGAGAGGCTTGCTAACACAAGTAGTGATGTTAGCCGAGAAGACGAGCAGATTTATGCTGATAAAGTTTCTCGCACACTCCCTGATTCACCTGCCCGGATCCTATACAGCTGCTGTCAAGAAATATATGTAACGTTTACCTCTGGGTCCTGCTTCATCTGTGCAACTAGTTTGTGAACGATGGAGGAGCGGAATGAGAATTAGAAAAGTGTCTCAAGTTAGTATGTAAAGGGAGGAACAAAGCGGGGATGATAGCCACCTCATAAATATTCAGGTCGCGTCCTGATCGCCACACACCACCACCACCACCACCACCGCATTATTACTCCAATTTCTCCGAAGAAAACACCAACGACAATTAGCCAAAGTACTATGAAAAGTGCACTTAATTAGTCTTGGAAGTGGACGTTGTATAGCCGGCAGACATTACGGTGTCGCATAGTTATTACCCTCACGGAATGTTAACCTCTCGTCCCTTCACATTTTCACCCTCCTGCTCTGACTTGCTTCATAACACCAGTAAGGGTAGAATAACACGATGTTTCATTTACCTGATGACATTGGATTTCTACTTTCAGCGCCTCTTGTAGGCCTTGTAGTTCCATGTTCCGACTAGAAAAACACTTTTCTCCCACTTTCGACGCGGCCGAGAAGAAGTTTAAGTGAATTAAATATTTTTTAAAACGACAATAACAATTGAAAGAAGAACTACTCAGGCTGCAAAGCAAGTTCTCGCTGCTTTTACAGCCTAGGACTCATCACCCACTTTCCGCCTGTCTTCAAAAGTGCTCCAAACCGGGCGGAAAGAGCTCATGCCCCGGACGAGTCCTCTCCAGATTACGGCCGAACGTCGACGGGTCCGACGGAGAAACGGGTTACCTTTTCTGTCGATTATTTTAAGTTGAAAAACGGGGACTATATTTTTGTCCGTGTCCGCGGCTTGATTTCACTTTGCCTGGGGAAAAGTCGCGCTTCGGCTGTCAATGGTAATTCTAAAGTTCCCGGATGGAGTAGAGAGGACCCCATCACCACCACCACCACCACCTCCACCATATTGGACATGCGCAGTGTGCCGAGGGAGTCATAACTACTAGTACACAGTGAAGGATATTTCTGTTAAATACCCGTGTTTTCACACCCATAGTCATGTTATCATATAATTGCACAAACCCAGTATATTTATAATGCTGTTAATTACATTAAAAAGTATTAAAATAATTAGATGGTTGAGTTTCTTTCTCCTCCTTTGTTGAAGGTTGCTTACTACTGTGTCCATACAGCTTTAACCCATGGTGTGGTGAAGTACTCAAAACGTTTATTTAAGTGAAAGTACTACCACATTCAAAAAGGTACTTGAGTAAAAGTATGCACATATTATCAGCAAAATGTTCTTGAAGTATTACAAGTAACATGGTGTCTGTGACTGATTACACATTACAAATTATTAATATTTATGCATCAATGAATAACAGACTGTTGTGATGATCCAGGCACAGCTGGTTTTAGCTACTTTACATACAGTTCAATCTTTCAGTGGTTTACAAGGTAAATATGAGACATGGTAAGATATAGGAAAGGAAAAATAAGGTTTTGCCTCACAGATTAGCAATTTTTAGACATTTTAATGCTGGCTCTTTTTACCTCTTTGGGTGTCAGACTTTTAATTAAAACTGCTAACAACTCATAGACATCAGAAACATACCTCTCTGTCCAAACTGAGCATTATTATTTTTGTAAAGGTTAGATTTATAGAATATTATAGAGTTGTTGCATTGCATTGTATTAGAGGTGTAATAAAATATTGTAGTATATATATACTGCTCAAAAAAATAAAGGGAACACAACATAAGACATCCTAGATCTGAATGAATGAAACATTCTTATTAAATACCTTGTTCATTACATAGTTGAATGTCTTATTTTCCCTTGTGTTCCCTTTATTTTTTGAGCAGTGTATATAGTATATATATATGTACTGTATATAGCATTTAAATTATTTTATACATTTAAATACTTCTTAGTTTGTTTCCTATACCTCTTTCAACTGTTTTTACCACTGTAACATGAATTTCTCTTTTGCAGATCAATAAAGTCTTGTTGTTATCTCATCTTTCAGCTCAAAGGGCTAAAAATAAAGGGGCTACTAACACCACTACATGAAATCAAATAAAATACATAAAACACTACAAGCATACAGCCTATTTTGAGAGAGTACAGTGTTTTAGACATATATGTCCAAATTTATATGCGTTCATATGTTTTTCTTATCATACCATACCATACCATACCAACTTTATTTATAAAGCACTGAAACAACCGAGACGGACCAAAGTGCTGTACAGTGTGATTAACATCATGACGTGAGATGACAAATAGTGACTTTCACTGGCAGAGATCAGTGCATTAACTGCCCTGATATGTTGTACATCTACTTTGATACTTTACATTTTGCTGATGTTACTCATGTACTATTACTAAACTGGGTTTTCTGTATTTAGATAGTAAATGTGTACCCATGGCTCATATTCATATTTGATTAAGTTTTTGGTCTGTCATCTTGTTGTTCTGCTAATTAGCGCTTTGATTATAATTTAGCCAATATCTTCTTACAGCATTAGTAAACAAATATTCACACTGTATATTATAATTAAAGAATTGTAAATTACATTTCTTAACATGAAATTACCTCTTAAGCAAAAACTTAAAAAAAAACTCCAATAGATTTTTCAAAATAGTTCATATGTATTTAGTAATGGTTTGATAGTATTTCCTTTACTTTAATCAGTGTAATATATCTTTTAATGCAACAAATCAATTGTTTGACCACTTTAACACTTTGTTATTCACCTAAGTGGCTCTAAATTTAGAAAATTTACTTATTCCACTCTGTCTGACAATATCACAATATACGGTATACTGTATCTGTACCAGAGTGCTCTTCTACACTTGAATCTCAAGTTGCCATGTTTTTATGGATGAAAATTGATATATTCTAAATGTATTCTGTGTCATTTTATACTGTATATACTGACCCAAATTCTAAAATATTTGGTAACATTGGACATGTTAAAATTTAAATCTTCAAGATCCACAGGTTTGAGTGTTTAACTGAGACTGTAATGGATGACCCAGGGGTCGTTGTTTACTAAGGGAAAGGTGCCAAGCTACACCAAACATAAATAAATTTTGATATCAACCAAAATGTTTTGATTAGGATTAAGGTTATACACTTAAATCTAAGTTTATTTGTCTTGAGCTATATTCAAAAGTAATATTGTTTTAAATAAACCCAAAAGACAGTGGTCAGACATTTTTAGATGATTCATCAGTGTGGACTCCAGCATTAACATGAAAAATGGCAGCAGCAACTCAGAGACAAAAAAGTGAAAGAATAGAAAACATCAACATTTCAGAATCATTCAAGCATCCAGCCAGATCTGCCCGGTCTTATTGTTTTACCTCTTCAAACACAAACAGGCCAAATGTATGAGTTTATTCTCTGAAACGCACCCTCTCCTCTCCATTTCTGTCAGTCTGAACCCCCGCCGCCTCCTTCTCCTTCTCCTCCTCCTTCTCCCGCCCTTACGACACAAGCCGAGTCGCGATTGGTCAAAGCTGCCGATTTAGTGCGTGAGAGGCGAGAAGAGGCGGGATAGACAAGCCAATCAGGAGTTGCAAACTCTGAGGGACAACACGACTAACCACTTAGCATTAGAGGACATCAAGGGGCGGGGTTGTAAGCTGGAGTATGTGATCTGAGGGTTGATGAAGAACAGAGATGGCAGTTAGTGTTTGAATTTGTTGTTAACTCGACAGTAAACACGGTCAGCACCGTTTAAACACAAAGTCTCTCAATCTGATGATAAAATCGTGGTTATATGTGTAATTTTTGTTTGTTGTAAGTCAGATCACAAACGGGCATTTTAAAGTAGCACCATGGACAGAGGCAGCTGCTCCAGGGACTCACAAATGGACATAAATCTTCCGATGCTGCTTAGCGAGTCCATTAGCTTTGAGCCACACTCCAATGTGTTTATAATGCAACAAAATCCAAAACGAATTTCCGCAAGCTAGGATTCACAAATACAGTTCTGAATCTTACATAAAACCTAAGGGTAAAGTTGTAGTTTATAGGCAGCTTGTAGCGCTGTCCCTCCGAAGCTCGCCACCCCTCCTGCCGCTGAAACCCTCCCCCACCCCGGCCACGTCTCTGCTACATCGGTTGCTGCTTTCTATTTCACAGCTCAGTAGTGAAACTCTTCCAAGCTGCCCCGAGTTTTTCAGCTCCGGTCGCCCTGTGTTGACGCAGACTTTACTGCAATCGGTGGTGGAAAGTAGCTAAGTACTTTTACTCAAGTACTATACTTAGCCTACATGTTTTAGGTATGAGTACTTTACTTGAGTAGGCCTATTTTCATTTTCTGCTACTTTATACTTGGATTGCAGAGACAAATATCGTACTTTTTACTGCAGTACATATATTTAATAACTTCAGTTCCTTTCCAGAATCAGATGAATCAAACCAAACCCAGTAGAACCATCATACTCTATTGATCCCAGTAGGAAATCCACCAGCTACCCAGCAAGATCGAAAGTACTTCACAGTATAAGTATATAAGGCAGTTACCATCAGCTCCACCTTTACCAGCTGCAGCATTAAGGTGATGAACATAGCAATGCATAAATAATTACAAACCAATAATATAATGTACAGTAATGTGAAATGTGCCTGCCTGAAGTTTACACTACTGTTCAGCTGCACTGGTTTATACAGACACTGTAGGCTATACAATAACAGCTGTATTTTTCAGTTATTCTTCACAAAAACTCTGTCACAAAAGTCAGAATGACTTGATCTCATCTAACAATGCTGACATAAGGACACATCAGTATTCATGAATTTGTCTCAGAGCTGTTAGCACTTGTTCTGGTGTTACATTAGTGTTATAAAGCAGAGATGTTGGAACCTCTTTCATATTTGACTGTGGTTCAGTTTTTACAACAAACCCCCCCAAAACACATTCAGTCTGTTAATATTGTAATGAAATCAGAAATGATTTTCAAATATTTTGTGCCTAGTGTTTCACTCCATTTTGTGGTGTTGCATTCAGGAGCATTCATTTGTTTAGCTCCTTTTCTGTAAACTTTGTAGCAGAACAACTCCCCCCCATTGGCTATTACAAAACGTTCAGCCTCTGTTTCAGTGGCTACCCTAGCAGCCAGCTTTATGTTAGGCTATTTGTTTTCCAAATATTCCTCATTAAACATCTCCTGTGAGTGCCGACCCAGGCTGGGTCCAGGACCGGCCAGGCCTCAGTGCTTTCTGCCAGTACTGACAGAAGGCTGGTGCTGGCCAGGCCCGAGGTAGACTACAAAATAAAAATGAATGTCCAGCTGACATAAAATTTGTCTGTTTTCAGCATGTCCTCCACTAGCTGCATTTGAAATAAGGTTAATTGAAATACCTAAATGTGTTAATACTTGGTCAACCACTCTGTCAATTTAACTTCCCTGTTGAATTGAGTTCCCTCAAATACAACCTGCTATATACAGTGACAGCTTTTGCAGGAGACAGTTTGCAGTAAGCTCATGCACTCATACTGGGCCACTTTTTGTCATTTTTGGGTCCTTTTGATTGTTGGAAAAGACTCTGGCTTTAGTTAAATATTAATGTAATCCTGTCAGTGATCTTTTCTTAACATGAACCAAGTTGCGTATCTAAATTTAAACAACATTTATCATGCTTCATTATGCTCCAGAGCAACATGCTCCTTCATGTGGTGTGGTGATTGTGCAAAATAGTTTCCTTAGACATGTAAGCTCTGAGGGGACATGTCTGTGTTTATTGATGAGCAGCTCTTAGTGACGATGAAAAACTGGAGGGTAAGAGATTAGAAGCTTTTTCATTATTTGGCCTGAATATCTTTAGTTCCACACTGCAGCATAATTAAGAGTGGATAGAAAAGCACATAGCCTAAAAAATCAATTCATGTGAGGGGAAAACTCAGTATGGTAATTTCCAAATTCAGCCATTAACCTCCTCATTGTTTCAGTCAGCGTGTCATTTACCTGATGCTAGAAACATCAGGTGCACAGTGTATTTGTGTGTTTTGCAGCATTAATATGCTCATGCACGGGATCAGCAGCAGGTTGACAGTTAAATATAGCCTAATATCAGCAGGGACACTCTGTCACTGGAATGATGCTCTGACATTTTTAGTTGGTCTTCCAAACAGATGCTTGGCAAACCAGAAGCCAAGAACATATCCTTCATCACTGGTGAAAGGATACAGTGACATTTGTAAGGACTGTGTCTTTGGGTGTATGAGAGGTTGACATAAATGTCGGCCAAATGCAGCCAGAGAGCTGCAGCAGAGATCGGAGCATCCCTTACCTGCAGACTCACAGGCCACTGTGAGCGTGTAAACTGCAGTCATGGGCTGATAATGAAACAACAGGCCCCTGGGCACAGACCCTCAGACTGGAGGAGACACAAAACCACTCTGTGTGTGGATAGTTCAGTTCAGAGCTGAAAAATGTGAACATGTTGACAACATTAAGAGAAAAATGAAGTTCATTGTGACAGATTGTAGTCCTGGTGTTCATCACGACTGGTGTCCACAACAGAAGCCACTGGGTGTGTGGAAGGAAGTAAACATCTCTCTGAGCCTGAACTACTGCTGCTCTGTGCCAGCAAACAACATCTCAACTGCTGCTTTATACAAACAGCTTCTCTGAATTAATTGCTCATTACTGGGGCTGCGACCCAGTTCTCTCGCTCAGAGCTTCTTTCACTTCACTAATAATAAACAAACTCAAGTTTCTGGTCAGCGCCAGCTACCAGCCGAGCGGCAGTAGGCACAAAGAAAGAGCACTGCCATTAAACGAGCTGTATCTGTGGTGCTATTCTGCCGGCGTGAACAGGAAGAAAATGTATTGTTCAGCTGGAAATGGTCATGTGGAGATAATATGCTGATATAATGTTGATTCACTGTGTTCTTGTGTGTCAGAAACGTGCAGCAGAGCAGGAAGCAGGCAGCACTGAAGGCTTTGGAGAGCTCTTTTGAGTAGCTACCATCAAGCAGCATGTTGTCGGACTTCCACAAGGTGAAAATGAACAGACTGTAGATTTTTGAGTGTAATTACCAACACAACAAGCACATCAGCAACAAACATGAATCTCAGGTTATACAAGGCCCCAAAAACATTTTCATCTTGTTGCGTAAGACGGTGTAGTTTTATGTCTCTGTGATTATTTTGTCTCGTTTTTGTTTATTTTCCTGGCTTTTGTGTGCTCAGCTCGAATCTCAGTGTCACACCTGGACGTACAGTGCCTTGCGAAAGTATTCGGCCCCCTTGAACTTTGCGACCTTTTGCCACATTTCAGGCTTCAAACATAAAGATATAAAACTGTAATTTTTTGGGAAGAATCAACAACAAGTGGGACACAATCATGAAGTGGAACGAAATTTATTGGATATTTCAAACGTTTTTAACAAATAAAAAACTGAAAAATTGGGCGTGCAAAATTATTCAACCCCCTTAAGTTAATACGTTGTAGCGCCACCTTTTGCTGCGATTACAGCTGTAAGTCACTTGGGGTATGTCTCTATCAGTTTTGCACATCGAGAGACTGAAATTTTTGCCCATGCCTCCTTGCAAAACAGCTCGAGCTCAGTGAGGTTGGATGGAGAGCGTTTGTGAACAGCAGTTGTCAGTTCTTTCCACAGATTCTCGATTGGATTCAGGTCTGGACTTTGACTTGGCCATTCTAACACCTGGATATGTTTATTTGTGAACCATTCCATTGTAGATTTTGCTTTATGTTTTGGATCATTGTCTTGTTGGAAGACAAATCTCCGTCCCAGTCTCAGGTCTTTTGCAGACTCCATCAGGTTTCCTTCCAGAATGGTCCTGTATTTGGCTCCATCCATCTTCCCATCAATTTGAACCATCTTCCCTGTCCCTGCTGAAGAAAAGCAGCCCCAAACCATGATGCTGCCACCACCATGTTTGACAGTGGGGATGGAGTGTTCAGGGTGATGAGCTGTGTTGCTTTTACGCCAAACATAACGTTTTGCATTGTTGCCAAAAAGTTCGATTTTGGTTTCATCTGACCAGAGCACCTTCTTCCACATGTTTGGTGTGTCTCCCAGGTGGCTTGTGGCAAACTTTAAACAACACTTTTTATGGATATCTTTAAGAAATGGCTTTCTTCTTGCCACTCTTCCATAAAGGCCAGATTTGTGCAGTATACGACTGATTGTTGTCCTATGGACAGAGTCTCCCACCTCAGCTGTAGATCTCTGCAGTTCATCCAGAGTGATCATGGGCCTCTTGGCTGCATCTCTGATCAGTCTTCTCCTTGTATGAGCTGAAAGTTTAGAGGGACGGCCAGGTCTTGGAGAATCTGTGGAAAGAACTGAAAACTGCTGTTCACAAATGCTCTCCATCCAACCTCACTGAGCTCGAGCTGTTTTGCAAGGAGGCATGGGCAAAAATTTCAGTCTCTCGATGTGCAAAACTGATAGAGACATACCCCAAGCGATTTACAGCTGTAATCGCAGCAAAAGGTGGCGCTACAACGTATTAACTTAAGGGGGTTGAATAATTTTGCACGCCCAATTTTTCAGTTTTTTATTTGTTAAAAAAGTTTGAAATATCCAATAAATTTCGTTCCACTTCATGATTGTGTCCCACTTGTTGTTGATTCTTCACAAAAAATTACAGTTTTATATCTTTATGTTTGAAGCCTGAAATGTGGCAAAAGGTCGCAAAGTTAAAGGGGGCCGAATACTTTCGCAAGGCACTGTACCTGCAGGAGGTTGTGACATTTGCTTCACTGAGGCAAACACTGAGCACAGACTTCTGAGTGAAGGAGACCTCTTGTGTCCAGAAGTTAAACTTTAAAATAAACAATTTTTGTATCTTCATAAATTCTGGATTCCCCCATGACGTGATTATTCAAAGCAGTGTATGTTTATATCTTAAAACACATCTCTAAGATTAAACTGTGGGTTTCAGTTCAGTAAGCTTTGTCTAGTTACATAATGTTCAACAGGTGTTTTGTTGTAGCAGCACAACTTTAAATTCCCTCAACTACAACTAAATTCTCCTCTAATCCTCAGTGGTACAGATGCAGCTCTTTGGCAACAGTCATTCATCCGTTTTGAGTTTAAGGATTTAATAGAAATGAATTATTAATCAGCATAATTCAATCATCTCAGTGTGATTGTTCTAAACTGCCTTTAGTGTTTGCCAAGCCACTTCATATTAAACCAAACCGTTTGTAATCAGTCTGATGGGCCAACTCATTTATCACACGGATACTTCCCCAGGTGGAGGATCAGCCCCACACGCTGCTACGAGCTCTGATCCAGAGCAGCAGGGAGAACGAGCTGCCAAAACCCATCAGCCAGCGCGCTGCTGATGCAGCATCCAGCTGTGAAACATCAAGGACAAAACTCAAATAGCTGCTGCAGCTGGATGAGCACAGGCCACTGCTCTCTCAAAGGAAATGCTCCATCACTCACTGCGTAACATGCTTATTTCTCTCTGGGGTCGGTCGACCGAAACACATTCATAACAGATATGTCTCAACCTGCTGAGAAGTTCTCGTGTGTTTTTATTGAGAGCACAGCAACACACCACATCGGCTTTTCTAGTTGTAATACATGTAGCCCTGTTGGACACGGGGCCTCAGGTGGCTGCTGTTCTCTGCTGAACACGACCACCTGTCTCCAGCCGGCTGAAACTAGGCTCCCATTAAAAATGAGAAATGGGGAAAAACTCCCTTAATAAAATGTTAACAGAAGACAAAAAGACAGAGCCTGACTCAGAAGTTTTTGAAAATATTAAATTTCATCTTTTGCTACAGCAAATCACTCTGAGCTGCAGTTCAAAGATTACATCTGTTAAGGAACTCTCGCACACGGAAGTGAGTGAGCGAAAGAGAGGCGGACCCAGGTAGCCGACTTCAGTGCAAGCAGTGATTTATTACAATACAGTGCAATATGGTGATAAACAATACGTCAGTAGATGGTGATGAAGGGGGGGAACCGGGTGTCGACCAGCAGCAGGAGTAGAGGAATGAGGAGTAGGAATGAGATGGCCCGAGCTGCGTTGCGGGGTCACTCCTGGGCTGGTCGGTGGGCGATGGTGGCTACTGAAGAAACACAGGCAGAGAGGTGATGAGATGGGGACAACTGGTGACTGTGCATCGACCTGTCTGGAAGGGAAGAATAGAGACAAGGTCCGGAGGAAATAGCGGTCCGTGCAGGTAAAAAGAGCTGACTATAAACGGAGAAGCAATAATGAGAAAAACCAGGAAACAAAAGCAATAGGGGGACGAGAATACTGGAGGAAAAAAACAACAAACAACTAATAATACAAAGAGAGGGCCTGAGAACGTGAACGAACTGGCAAAGGAGTGATAAGTGAGCCAGGTATAAGTAAAGGACAAACAAATGAAGTGCAGCTGGTGATAATCAAGAAGTGAGGAGCAGGTGTAAATGATGAGCAATCAGGGGCTAGAAGAGAAAGGCAGAGTGAGGGGGGTGAGAGAGGCAAGTGCAGCCGGGCAAACCTGACAACATCAGCAACAAAGTATGAAAGATGTGAAGAAACAAGTTCATTTAAAAAGAAAATAATTCTTGGTGTCTGAGATATATATTTATATATGTTCATGTAGATCCCAATGCTGTGCACATCCGGTACCAGTGATGCAGGAGTTGGTGACGCTCCCATTGAAAGCTGTTTCATCCATCATCTATACAGCTTATTCCTGAATAGGGTCTCAGGGGCCAGCTGACACTGGGCGAGAGGCGGGGTCCACCCTAGACAGGTTGCCAGTTCATCACAGGGCTGACATGTAGACACACACTCACTCCTACACAGGATTTAGTCACCAGTCAACCTAGGCTGGACTGTGGAAGGAAACTGGAGGCACGGGCACAGGGTGATCATGCAGGGCTCGAACCCAGAACCTTCTTACTGTGAAGTGACAGTGCTAACCACTGCTTTGCCATGCCACCTGAAAGTTTGAAGTTGGATATTCAACAGGTGTTTTGTTTAGAAGACCTCTGGACGGCAGGTCTGGGTACAGCCCTGTTGTCATTTTAGTGATGATGCATTTCTCAGCTAAGATTTTAAAAAGAGCTTATTTGGTTATTCAGCCTGTAGAGGAACAATTCATCTGAATGGGCCTACTGGCCCAGGAGGTCAGGGGGCCCCTGTGTGAAGCGACAGTTCTTATTTCTTGGTAGAAAGTCATAGAGCTTAGTTAAAAGCAAGTACAGATGCAAAACAACAGACAGTAAAAAGTGACCAAACAGGAAAAGAAGGGTGAGGGACATTTTACTTGTGTGTGTCTAGGGCCAGTCCTCAGTCAGACTGAGATCAGATGAAAAATTCTCTGAGCATCAACACATTCAAAACATGAAGTTGGTAGATTTGTCTGTGGTGTTCAGTTTAGTACCTTCCTCAGCCACTAGAAGGCATTATGTTGTGCAGGAATCCACACAGAGGTCCAGCTGGAAATCAGCCCCTTTTCCTCAGAAACTACAATGAAATACAATGTGTCATTAAAAAAGATCATCTAAAGGTTTTACAGTGGAGACAGCTTTTGGGTCACATTAGAGGAGCATTAGTTCTGCTTCCTTTTAATTTGTCACTGTAGTAATGGCTGCCCACATAGCCAGTCAATTAATTCAACCTAATTATAGCTCCATTTGCAAACGCCTAATTGACACATAAGTCTGTCTGCAGATCGGGCAATTAGAGATGAGCTGCATGAAATATTATGTGTATGAAATGAAATTATAGCAATTAACGACTTAATCAAATATAACAATTAATTACAACAGGAATCCAAAGTCAGGTTTGGAACTAAAAGTGAGATCATTAAGACGGGGTGCAAGGTGGGTTCTTGCTTATTTTCATTCAGTTTTATACAAACAAGACTTATGACTTTGATCAGACGCCATACAGGTCTAACAAAGTCCAGAGACAAAATTATGAGTCAATTAAGTGAATTAATAAGTGAACCGTGAATGAATAACAGACCAGGTCAGAAATAAATAAATAAATGAACAAATTGGTGACTAAAAGGGCGATATACAGAATACGTGTTAATATCAGGGTCCAGGTCATTAACCACGGTTTCTACTGAGACCACTGTAGAGCGAGCACTGTGAAGAACTCCAGTGTGTTTTTGTGTTCAGTTTAACTCAGGCCTCTCTGCTCTCTGTATAAACCTCATTTGCAGTAATTGCTCATGTTTAACATCCCTTCATGGCCGTTGATCAATAGCTCATCAGCTCTCTCCAGGGACACTCCGCTTTTGAGTCTGCTCACAGGTTTAGTCCTGTACAGACTGCCCCTGCTGAGCTCCAGGGGCCCGGGCCGACTAACTCCCTGCTGCAGGCTTCAGAGGAGCCCGCTGAGCGAGGTCGCCCATACCCGGCACACAAACAACCACAAAGTGACATAAGGTGGCCACTGTCCAGTGACTGCATCAGTCCAGCGTGGCAGACCATGCAGAACAGGTCTGGATTGAACGGACTTTGGGAATTTATTTCTGCCTCAATGTGATAAGTTGATTTGTCAGATAGTGCATTAGCTGAAAACTGATATTGTGGTGCAGTTACTGTTCAGAAATAGTTTCTCAGTTTATTTTCCCAGAAGATTTACTAGAGTTTAATGATTTTTTTTTTTTTGCCATATTCATGATGAAATTTGGATAGCAGCATTTAGGAGAGCACAGTCATATCCTGGGTAATATTTCTGAGAATATGGAGGTTCAGTACAGAGTTTAATATTCTACATTTGCACATATATTGCACCTCATTCCAAGACTGTGACACAATTTACACTTTAAACACAATAAACAGAGGGATGTCCTGCTATCCATCAGAAGTGCAGACTTGATAGTGAAGAGAAATTGGAAATGTCGGTTGTAACACTGACAGAAAACAACTGTTTGCAGTTTGTCAAACATTTCTGCACGTGGTCAGCTCTCTGCTCATGACCTGCAGACAACAGCCCTGAATGGTGTACAAAGCTTCCTCACACTGTCTCACACTTTTTGACTGACATCAGGAACAATGTTTTAGAAGTTCATACATCCAAAAATGGTTGATTATCATAAAATAAAATGCTGAACTTGATACCAGCTTATCATTCATTGCCTCTCTCAGTCTCACATGTACATTATACAGGTTTTGTGTTTTTTCTGCTGCCAACTCTTTCCATTTTCTCCTCACCAGCTGGTCAAGGGTCTCCTGCTGCCACTGGGGCCCACAGCTCACTTCCTACTTTCTCCAGCACCTGTTCCTATTTGGCAAGGCTGACTGGGATCCTGAAAGCTTGGAGATGAGCCATCTGCTGCCCAGCTCTGCACCATTTTACCCCCAGTCCCTTGAGTCTCAGCTCTGAAACACACAGCACTACTGAAAGATGGAGGAAGAGCTGAAATGGACTGGCCGGGAGATCCTCAAATTACCATTTACCTGAACAAAGAGCTGTGAGTAACCAGACTAAATCAAAGCAGAGCTCATTTACCTCATGCAGGTGGAGTGGCTGAAAACTTTCATGTTTCATCTCAAAGCTTAAAAATGACATCTCCTACATGATTTTCAGTTTCAGGATCAATTTAAAGGTTGTGCTTCTCTGTTAGTGTGCAGCAAAATCAACAGACATAAATTAACACTATCAGAGTCCGTTTCTACAATTTCACTGTTAAATTCACAAGTGATTTGAGTTGAACTGATGCTAGATTCTGTTGTTCAAGCCATCTGTTACCAATATAGGTGGGAGTGACAAGAAAAAGCACATATGCTCTGTCATTTAAGTGTCTTACTCTCAAAACAGAATTTTTATCTATGGAATTCTTCATTTATCATTAATGATAAATGTAATGATTAATTAAAATTAATGTCATTAGCTTTGGGTTATATGGGATAATGCAAGAAATAAATTTGTCAGTATCCATGTCATGTCAATTTTCTAATATACAGATTTGATCATGTTATTGATTCATCTAGCCAAAAGTAAGAACAATTCTCCAGGGATAGTTTTAGTGAGGTTAACAACTGTTTTGGATGACAGAAAAAAATGACAAGTTTCCTTTTATATGTAACAGATCCAAAACTGATGAAATATTTACATCCATCTATTCTTTATTTTAAAAATCTTTATTTTTGTAAAAAATGCAGAGCAGTTTGCACTAGTCCTCACCTCTTCTTCCTCTTCTTTCGGCTGTTCCCGTTAGGGTGGCGCCACAGCGAATCATCTGTTTCCACCTAACTCTATCCTCGGCATCCTCTACTCTCACCCCAACTAACTTCATGTCCTCTTTTAGCACATCCATATATCTCCTCTTTGGCCTTCCTCTTGACCTCATGCCTGGCAGCTCCATCTCCAACATCCTTCTACCAATATAACCACTATCCCTCCTCTGCACATGTCCAAACCATCTCAATCTGGCCTCTCTGACCTTGTCCCCAAAACAGCCGACCTGAGCTGTCCTTCTGATGTGCCCATTCCTAATCCTGTCCATCCTGGTCACTCCTAAAGAGAACCTCAACATCCTCATCTCTACTACCTCCATCTCTGCCTCTTGTCTTTTCCTCACTGCTACAGTCTCTAACCCATACAGCATAGCTGGTCTCACTACTGTCTTGTACACCTTTCCTTTGATTCTTGCTGCCACTCTTCTGTCACACAACACTCCTGACACCTTTCTCCACCCACTCCAACCTGCCTGCACTCGCCTCTTCACCTCTTTCCTACACTCCCCATCACACTGGACTGTTGACCCCAAATACTTAAACTCCTTCTTGACCTCTGCCCCCTGTAACCTCACTGTTTCTACTTCCCTCCCTCTCGTTCATACACATGTATTCTGTCTTACCGTGACTGACTTTCATTCCTGTTCTTTCCAGAGCAGACCTCCACCTTTCCAAATGTTCCTCCACCTGCTCTCTGCTCTCACTACAGATCACAATGTCATCCGCAAACATCATTGTCCATGGAGATTCCTGTCTGACCTAATCTGTCAACCTGTCCATCACCATAGCAAACAAGAAGGGACTCAAAGCCGATCCTTGATGTAGCCCCACCTCCACCTTGAATTCCTCTGTCTGACCTACAGCACATCTCACTACTGTCATACTCCTCTCATACATATCCTGAACTACTCTGACGTGCTTCTCTGCCACTCTGCACCTTTCCATCTCTGTCCTCACCTCTAAAAATAGATAGAAAGTCACTTTTGGGTTTTCCCGTTTAGGGGTCGCCACGGGGAATCGTCACACTGACATAGATAGAAATACTTTATTAATCCCAATCTGGGAAATTGCATTGTTTCAGCAGCGGTTCATACTCAATATCAAGCACACAAATCAATAAATAGACATATCGCACATGTTTTACGCCGGATGCCCTTCCTGACGCAACCCTGATTCGAACCAGGGCAGCAATGGGAGAGCGCTGAACCTTAACCACTAGCCTACCAGAAATAAATTGTTATGGACTACAACTCCCAAACTACAGAGTATGCTCCGTCCACTGCGCATGTGCTAAAAGGTGGGCAATGCACGAGGACGCGGGAGAGCGATGCGGATATACAGCTATGTAAAATGGCGGTGTGAGAGAAGCTTGTTCAAAACATAGCGATCTTACCTGTAAAGGTGGTTAGCTTACATCTGTGAAACGGTCTGCTTTATCTGGAGCTGTCAGAGAATCATTCAAGGACAGAGGCGGGGGTTTATATTCCTGGGAAGGTACGTCATCATTATGAATAATGAAATATTAAACTAGTGTGTAGGAGGAGAAAACGCTTGTTAGTTTTCAAGCGGCATTTAACCTGGCGTTAGCTGTTAGCGGCTAAAGTGTGGGCCCGGCAAGGTTTAAGGCTACGCCTGCCATTAGCTCACCGGCTAACAACGTGAACATGGTTGTTAGATGCCGATGGACACGATGGCAGGCTTTTCAGTTTCTGTACTGTTAAAGGTTTATTGTTTTACGTGGTTAACAGTTAATCTGGCCGAAACTGTAGCGACCATCTTCCCTGAATTGAGGGTTTGATGGTTGTTAGCGCGTAAGGAAGAGCTAACTAAGTAAAGTAACGTTAAAGCTGCCGTTAACTTCCATAACTTCAGTTCTTCATGAAGGTTTCAGGCTCTAACTATTGAACTGACTGGAAGAAGGAAATGTGGACCTAAAGTCTTAGGACAGTAACTGACTGATAGACGGGTTTAAACTAATGTTACACACCGATATCAGAGACACCGATGTTAGCCGCAGCGGTCACACACGATGTTTGCTTAATTCGTTACTGTAATATTAATTACCTTCACAGTCAGGGACAGGATTAATGCGTTTTATATGGTGCAAATCCTGAGCTTAATGTTGGAGAATCTGGCATTTGTGGGGTTTTATAGTTTCCCAGTTCCCTTGTTTTTGTGTGTGTTACTTTACCTCCATAACTTTGCAACTTCCAGTTCATATTCACAGCCTGCCTGTTAATCTGCCAGTTGCACCGGTGATAGGAGGAGCAGTTACAATCGTAGATGAAGAAAAATACACTGTTTAGTGGTGCTTGCAAAACCAGTTTTGTGCTCCTACTCTCGTCTTTCTTCAGACAGATCACCAGGCACGAGCTAAACTGATCTGCTGAGGATCATAAATACGATATAAATTCTTAATGACATGTAAATCTTTATTGTGTTTTATAGAATGCAGATTTGGCCACATATTATTGTGTTGGCGCTGGCTGTACAGAATTGGAAAACATGCGGACTCTTGGGTCTTTGTTGAATGTATGCATGGTCCAGTCTTCAAGTCGGTGTCAGTCAACAGCAGTATAGTGAAATGAAATGACATCCTCCCAGGACCATGATGCTACATCAAAACAAGGACTACATGAGACTACAGAATATAAATAAAGACTACAAGTGCCAAGCACAACCACAGACCTCTGTAGGATTACATTAGGTGTGCCGAGCGCACGGGAGAGTCCAACACGTGACCCTGCTCTGGCTGCTGATGAATTCTTTAGCGAAGCTGGTGACTGTTAACTCTTTGTATTCCAGAGCAGGTGGGATGGCGAAGAGGATTGCTGACAAAGAGTTAACGGACAGGAACTGGGATCAGGAGGAGGAGGGGGAGGAGGTGAGTGCTTTAAAGATGACCTGGACAGTGGATTAACAGTTGCATTTTGTTAATGTAGTGTTGTGTTTTAGCCTAAATGTTGAGCTCCCCAAACTTCTGCCTGTTCAGATTTGAGTTTGAAACTCTATAAAGAGACAATTCAGTTTAGAAAGTCACATGTGAACTGTGGCAGGAAGGGCAGAACCTGATGTTGGGTGAAAGACGTATCAGGATGTAAATGCCTTTTTGTCCAGGGTCTGTACCACAAAGCAAGATTAGCAGCTTATCCAGCCGACTCTGGGCTCAGCTCAGGTTTTCAGGTACCACAAAGCTGGCTCACTTTTAATCGGGCTCGATTGTCACGGTAACTTGTGCTGCCTGTTTAACTTGCTTCAGAGCAGGTCAACTTCAGAGGATCAGATCCAAATCTGTCAACAGCCTGAGCCCCGACCAATCACATCACTAGAAACAATGGGCGATTGTTCCTATGGGGTCTGAGCCCACATTAATGCGATGAGTACAGATGTTTCTACAGAGCAGTCGTATCGTTGTGCTGTTTCAGGCTTTCTGGATTTCTAACAGACTGAGGACATCTGCAGCCTTCGTGATGATCAGCACTGTGTTTTAAAGGAACAGATGATTTGATTACGGACTGAATTCCTGACTGTCAATGTTTTCACAGGCTCCATCACTGCAGCTCAGAATCACGAGGACACTCTGTGACAATGGTCTTTTATCAGATCAATAAGCCACACTTAAAATGTCTCCTGATTATAAGTGACCCTGTGCCCTGAGGTGTAGCTCCTCCCCGGTGTCCTCTCTGCTCTGGCTGCACAAACCGTTGGGTTTTTGACAACAGCTTCTTCATCATCAGATAAAGGAGGAAACAATACTCACTGAATACGGCCCTTAAAATAATGCTGTTAATGTGTGGTGTTTTCATGGTCTTTCCTTAGTATTTGAACATTATTCCTAGAGTTTCTATAGTTTCTTATTCTGTTCTACTTTTGTGACTTGTTCACAGTTCACAAGTTTCCCAGCAGGCATCACTGCTCTGTCTCGTATTGGTCTCAGAGGCCAACTTCACTCATGGTGCTGTTGCTTCTAATTAACAACTCGGCCTCCTTCACATGAGCATGGTACAGGTCCCTGATCTCTAGTGTGTCAGGTTTTTGACTGTGGTGATGTATTAAACTGTGTCATTCATCAGGCGGGAACGTTTTCAGTTGCAAGTGAAGATGTGTTGAAGAACCGAGCGATTAAGAAGGCCAAACGCAGAAACACTGGATCGGAGGTAAAACCAGGAAGTGGATGAAATATTCATAGATGTGTACAGATGACTTTTTTTTTTTTTTTTTTTTTTTTTTTTAACATTCTTTTTTTTTGTTTCCCACTGATTCAGAGAGAGATTTTTAGACTGAAAATCTCATGTGCTCTGTTTGTTTGGGGGTGTTCACCTGTGTTTCAGGGTGAAGGTACAGGAGCCTTCAAAGGATTTAAAGGGTTTTCTCTGACTACGTCAGCAGCAAGTGCAAGCTCGACCCCGACAGCGTTTTCTGGGTTTGGGAACACTGGAGGCTTTAAAGGCTTCGGAGGTCTGACCAACGGAAACAGCATCACTCCTTCATTTGGAGGTTTCTCCTCCCTGGCAGCATCCTCTGCTCCTGCTGGTGAGGAGACAGTTTGCTGTGCACAAAACACCTGCTGTTGTCGTTAACTTAACTCCAGGGGCTTCTCTTCTTTTTCCCATATTTAACTGCACAATTTTAATCTATATACATTTCATTTACATCTATTTTTGCCCTTTGACAGCAGAGGTTTTGCATTACAGAACATTAACAGAACAAATTTCCTGGTATCGGCTGAACCCAGGATCAGTAGCAGGCTGTACTGTTCTGTCGGGCTGGCTTGGCAGAGCCTGTCTCTGTACAGCCATCTTCATCGTGGCTCTGCCGCCAGGCCCAGCCAACTGGAATGGAGCTGTGAAGCCATTCTATTGTTGAGGGTCCTGCTTTGCGGTGTAATGGAGCCAAGTCAGCGGGGGTCTGTCTGTGCTGCTTCTCTTTGGTTTCATGTGGCTGGGGAGGGGGGAGGATACTCCTCTACCCGGCCGCTGTCACACTAACACTTCTCCCCTCATCCTCTCAGGTCTAACATTCAACGGCCCCACCTCCACTAAACCCACTGCTGATGTCACCGCCCAGCAGACCAATGGCTCCGCCCCCAGCCTGACTCAGAGCCCCAGCCCTTGCAGCAGCGGCAGCAGTGTCAGCAACAAGGAGTACCGCCGGCAGCTCACTGCGCTCAACTGTTCTGTGCGGGACTGGATCACCAAGCACGTGAACGACAACCCTCTGTGTGATCTCAACCCCATCTTCAAGGATTATGAGCGACATCTGACCAGCATCGAGCGCCAGTACGGAGCCGGGTCTGCTGCTCCGGCTGACGGAGGCTCG